TATGCAGATCTCTACCAAAAGTACTCCAGCGGGAAGGCCTGACAGGTTTCAACACAGAAACAAGAAACGCAAAATGAGCCACGCACCGACACTAGTAGCACTCTTGTTGACTCGAGAAAGGAAAAAACGTCTGACTGGTATAGCAAAACTTCGGAATAGTTACGTGAGTCATTTCACCAGACGTTTCACTTATCCCAAATGCCAAGACCTGTCTCTGTGTGAGGATCAGTATCAGGAGACTCCGATAGGCTATGTTAGCTGTACGGATGCATCTGACACCAGTTAATGAGGAGTGCAGTAGATGCGCTATCTCATGAAATTATTACGCAAATGCGAGTCCCAGAAAGTAATTGAGAAAAAACAGATGTGACCACTGTGTATGAATTTCCCGTTTCTGCTACTGTCTCTGATGATGAGTTCACGAAGGCGAATAAAGTTATTGTCCTAACCATCGTATTTGCTTCTTCTCAACTATCTCTCGAAATTTCAACCAAAATTCGAAAATGCGGTTCCTTTTCGGAAGGACAACATAAGTATAGCTGCAATATTAATTATCCTGCAGCATAGTCTCAACGTTTCAATCACGTTAAGATGGCGGCTTTTGAACAAGCTTCTTTCCAACCGTCCACAAAGACTACTTTCTATAAAAACATTGCTACTTAGGCACTATGCATTTTTCGCGATGAACTTAATAGCACAAACCTTGGAGAATGAATTAACCAATAAACGTGCAGCATGACCGTCAGGTAAATTAGTGGTCGTTTTAATGTTTTTTGTCGTGAGGAGGTTCAAAAACTGAAAGAAAACACATCGGAGGCTTTATGGTAGTTGTTGCGCATGCAGATTTTTAATATCATCACAATTCCCTACTATACCAACGGCGGGCGCGTGTAATTTGGGGGTGTTCGCTGACCTTGGGTGAGGTCATTGAGGTAAAAAACTAACTCCAGAACGGTAAGATGGACCACAGCTTATTTAAAGTACACGACCTCCTAACCACCATTTCCTTTTTTAAATAATCTAAAAAACAATCTAAAATAATATTATAACAAATACCATACATAAAGACGTTGAAACGCCTGCTAGTTCTTTTGTTATAACCTTGTGTGCGCCTGCGTCCCAGTTGCGTGTTAGGAAGAGAAGGCAGACAGGATAGCAGATAATAGTTTA